GGGGGGGGGGGGGAGCTTTTTCTTTTAATTACATTTTGTTTCTTAGCCAGCTCTTCTTCAACAATTACCAAAAATAAAAACTTCCTTCATGTTCTTTCTGTTAACAGAATTAGTGGCCCTAATTGAGGGATTAGAACAGGGTCCTAGGTCTGTGTTCTCAGAACGTTCCCGAGTCAGCATCTCATGTCCCATGTTACTTTCCCTGTAGTGAAACTGGACAGGTTAAATGCACTTCTTTTCCTTCTCTTGTGCTGCCAGCTTTTGATTGGATGTTTCCCTTTGGCCAGATGCAGTCTGCTCCCCTCCTCTAGCTTTCCTTGGAACTGTTGGTTTTATAAGTTGACAGTTAAACCTAACCACATCACACCACCCGGGTTTTATGACTGGCACGTTATGCTTAAATCTGAGCTTGACTTGGCTGCCGCTGTCTGAGATACCGGATTGGGATGGCTTCTCATCAGCTGGTGTGGTTTTTCACACATCTTTTGCTTATCTAAGATTTGGCTCCAGATAAAGGTGAAATATTTCGCATTCTGGGCCAATTAATAAGTTTATTGGTGCTGAACACTTTGTGCCATTTGCTAGGATGCAGCAAACTGCCTTTTATTATCAGAGCAGTTGAAAAACATAGAAATGTTTCAGGCACCACTTAGGTGGTCTTTTCCCCTGACCAGCAGGGGAAACGGAAACTCAAAAGAGGTTATAAGGTGCAAATCTAGACCAAGTAGCCATAACCACAAGTGATGATGATGATGATAAAACTGTAAGGGTCAGGTATTAAATATAAAAATCGGCATTAATATTTATATTAAACTTTCTTTTCTCAAAGTCTCAGTTGTAATGGATGCAGATGCAGGAGGAAACTGCTGGCTGGGCTCCAGCAGGTGTATCGGCGTGACCCGTCGCTGTGGCCTGCCTTCCTCTGGCAGCCCTCCTCCGGTGCCATAAGCCCTCTTTGGACTGAGGCAGGGAAATCACTGAATGCAATCATGGGCCAGACGTCAACCACAATACACTCTCTTCATTGGTCCTGACTTTGCTGCCGCAGGGAGATGGTTCCATTTTCCGGCCTTAAAACGGGGTGGGCCCTGAGCCCCAGCAATCCTCTGGAATTGGGACTCTAGTCTTTGCTCACAATCTGTCAGGAGCCATTAAAAGGTGCTTTGGATATAGCCTTTGATCTCCCTGGTTTTTGCCTCCTTTTGAGGGCCTGACTTCTGGGGCTGTTGGTGAGGATGGCACGTTGGGTTTATTTCCAGACGCCTCCCACAAATCTGCTGAAGCAGCTGCCCCCTGCCCCCCACAGTGAGGTGATTCCCTGTTTCACTTGTATTGTTCCCGTCTACTTATATTCCAAGTCTGTGGCCCTGGGGACCCCCAAGGGGCACTGCCCCTCACTCCTGGAAGCCGACTGCTATGCAGGTCATGGTGTGAAAACTTCTGTGAGAAACATGCACATTACGGCTTTGAGCACAAAATGAACCGTGACCTCGGATTACACACCTGGTTCCATGGGTAGGTTCCAAGGGCAGAATTTATTGCATCTGATTTCCCCTCTCATCTCACTCGCTCTTTTTTTCCTTCAAAGGTTCAGTCATTTGGGGAAAGGATTGTGCTATTCGTCCTCAACGTCGTTATTTTTGGAAGATTGGAGAGAAGTTTGGATGACGACATGTTTTTTCTACCTCACTCTGTGAGGGAGCAGGCTAAGATTCTATGGCGGGACGGAGCAGCGGTGGGATTTTACACAACCAAAGCAAAAGGTAAGGCTCAGGGCAGGGCAGGGCCGCCTCCATGCCAGGCTCTCTGGGTGGCTTCCTGCCTCGGGTAGTACCAGCACAGGGCTTGCTTGGGGAAACTCTCTGGGCACAGCAGGTACCACTGATTCAGTGTCATGTAAATACACCCAAGATTTCATTTGTACCCATTTCCTGTTTTACTGGAGAACAGGCTGAAAAGCATGTCCCTGTGATCTTCAGGCCGTGCCATGTTCCCCGGAAAATACTTGTTAATGGTGTAAACTGACTTTATAAGCACAATGCTTTTCATTTCTTCTCTTTAATGTTACCAATTAACTGTCAGGACACATACCATTGCCAGTCGCTGACACGTGGTGCAGAAGTGCACTGGGTGCCAGGATTTATAGACGTTACCTCAGAAGAGAGGGAGGTTAGCCACAATAGCAAGGTCAGGGAGAAGGCTGGGGCTCATTTTTCTGGGCTGTGACAAGAAGTGACTGGGGGACAAGTACCATTTTGCCGAAGGGATCAGTCTCCTCTTTCGAGTTGCTTTCTTTAATAGTTTTTAAACTTTTTAAAAAATTAAGTTTTCAGTTACAGTTGATATACAATATAATATTAGTTTTTGGTGTACAATATACTGATTAGACATTTATGTACCTTGTGAAGTGATCACTGCAATAAGTCTGGTACCTATCTGCTCATGTGCTTTCTTAATGGTCATATATCATCTTTGGTGGTCTGTTCAGATATTTTCCCAATTATTTTTATTGGGTTGCTTGTTTTATTATTTACCTTTGAGCATCCTTTATATGTTATAGTTCTTTATCAGATAAGATATTTAGTAATTTCATTGATTTTAGTGAGAAGAAGGGAAGAGAGAGAGAGGGAGAGAGAAACATCAATTGGTTGCCTCTCGTATGCAACCTGGACCTGGGATTGAACCCTCAACCTGTTTATGGGCCCTGATTGGGAATCTAACCTGCCACATCCTGATGTATGGGACAGCATTCCAACCAACTGAGCCACATCAACCAGGGCATCAGAATGTATATTTTGAGAACATTTTCAATTTTGGTTTAAATGGTGTTTTTGGAAGAACCGAAGATTTAAATGTTGATCAAGTCTAATTTATCTGTTTACTCTCTTTGTGGAGCCCATTTGGCTTCATCTTTCTGCCAGTTTTGCTGCCCACATTGGGGAGTGTCCTTGGTTTAAAAAAAAGCATCAGACTCACAGATCAGATCCTGTGTAGTTCATCGTTCAAGAGTAGATCCATCTCTTGCCCAGCTGGCATGGCTCAGTGGTTGAGCGTCAACCAGGAGATCGCGGTTCGAGTTCCAGTGGGCACATACCTGGGTTGCGGGCTCCATCCCCAATATGGGATGAGCAGGAGGGAGCCGATCAATGACTCATCATTGGTGCTTCTATCTCTCCCTCTCTCTGACATCAATAGAGATATATTTAAAAAAACAACACAAAAAACAGATCCCTCTCTGGTCTGTACTGTGGTCCTCACATGGCCAGGACTCCTTTTTAAAGTTCAGCTGCTTTCCTTGTCCTAAAGTTCGATCTCTGCTGGTAAGGCTTCAGTTTTTCCCACCAGTGTTTTCTGTAGCCTTGGGGGTTCAGTTATACCTTGTGGCCAGCAAGCTGCAAGCTAACAGGTTTTATCAATGCCAGTTGCAATTTTCTGAAGTTAAGTTTTCCTCTGGCTTCTCTATGTGTTTTTTGGATGCCTTACACCTGTCTCCAAATGACTTACTGAACGAAATTTGCATGATCATTGCATTCCACCACCGTCATCTTGTGGGGACTTGTTAAGGCATTGGTTATAGAATTTTATTTCTTGCCTTTCCATCTCTTTCTGTAAGTTGAGAGAGGAATTATTTTGATGAATTGAGAAATAGTTGTTAGCAGCATGCAAATAAATTAAAAATAACTTAGTGAATATATAAGTTTTATAATGTTTTATTATTTTACACAGTGATTTCTGAAAAACCAGTGAATACATGTGATCTAACTGGCGACAGGAGTTGATATTCAGAACTTTAGAAGAGTTAAGGATGTTTCTTCAGTCCTGGCTCCGTCGTTGGTGCTTGTCACAGTGTTAGAATGTTGTAGTGTTGATGCCTAAAATACGGGCGTAGCACATGGCTTGCTTCTCCACTTGGCAGCCATAGACTTTCTCTCCATTACTTTAGATCTCCATGACTCAGAGTATCTGTTAATTCATTTCGGGCCAGGCTGAAGTTGATCATTTCATTTTGTGCAGAAAAGGAAATGTACAGATTCATTGCATCATAGGATCACAGGGGCCAGGTTTTACCTACTTAAGACTAAACATTGTTTCTAAGCTTCAAGGGAAGAAAATAACTAGATTGGTGAGTGGTCAGTTGGCCAATTTAGGGCAGAGCTACTAAGTATTTTGCTTTTGTATAAAAATCTAAAAGAAACATTACATTTCAGATTCCTGAAAGCCCGACACTAATGCAAATTGTAGGCAAGAGTAGCCCTTAAAAGTATTGAATTAGATTATTTGCAGTCCAGACAAGCACGTGACCTTGCAGAGGGCAGTGATGCTTTGAAGTGGCCCCCACTGCCCTGCCTGTCACCAGGGCCTCATATTCGCCCCTCCCCCAGACACTCCGTGCCACAGGTGCCTCCTGTCCGATTGTCCATCAAGCAGCAAGCCCTCTTGTCATCTTTTGGCCTTTAACAGAAACATAAGTAGCATAAAATGGAGATGTGAGACTGTGGTGTTGGTTCAGATTCCAACTCCACGACCTGATGCAAAAGGGATTGCTGTCACCTCAAGGACTTGCAAGACGGGAGGTATGGGGAGGGTGCAGGGGATTCATGGAGCGCAGCTGGCTGCTTATGCTGGGATGGGCACCCAGCACCTGCTCCAGTGCCACCTTTGCAAACCAGCTTCCTTTCCTCCCTTATGTTTCCTGCTTCCTTATAACCTTGACTTCAGTTTGCCATGCTGCCTGCCTGGCCTCTAAATGCACCTACCTTAAAGGGGCAGAATCTCTGATAGTCCTGTGTCCCCTTCACTCAGAGCCTCCTGAAAGAAAAAGATACTTAGTGTCACCTTTATGTACAATTTTAATACAATTTGTTGTAGCTTTAAAAGTCCCATAAAAGTTGCCAATTTAAGCATACCATTCAGTGACTTTTAGCAAATTTTGAGAGTTGTGTCACCATCACTCCAATCCAGATTGTAGGTATTTCTTCCAACCCAACAAGTTGCCTATTTGGTGTCAGTTTCTGTTTCCATCCCAGCTCTCAGCAACCACTGATTTGCTCTCTGTCTCTATCAATTTGCCTTTCCTGGACATTTCACATAAGTGGAACGATACACTATATGATTTTTATTTTTACTTTTGCATCTGGCTTCTTTCACGTAGCATGGTAGTTTTGAGGTTTATCCAAATGGTAGCATATATTAGTATTTTATTCCTTTTTATTGCTGAGTAATGTTCCATGGTATAAATGTACCACATTTTGTTTATGCATTTACCAGAATAGTTTCTAGTTTGGGGGTCTTATGAATAATGCTGCCATAAGCATTCAGATACATCTCTTTGTATGGATGTGTGTTTTCGTTTCTCCAGGATGGATTCCTAGGAGTGAGATTGCTTGGTCATTTGGTAAGCATATGTTTAACTTTTTAAGAAATTGCCAAACTATTAGACAAAGTGGCTGTACCATTGCATATTCCCATCAGCAATATATGAGCGTTCCAGTTTCTCCACATCCTGTCAACACTTATTATTGCTCATCTTTTTTATTATGGCCATTCTAGTAGGTGAAAAGTCACATTTCACTGTGGTTTTAATTTGCACTTTCCTAATGACTAAGGATATTGAGTATGTTTTCATTGATGTTAACCATTGCATGTCTTCTTTGAAGAAATGTTTGGTCAGATCATCTCTCCATTTTTTATTGGTTGTTTGTTTTCATTTTATTGACTTATAAGAGTTCTTTACATATTCTGGATATGTCTTTTTATCAGAAATGTGATTTGCAGACATTTTCTTACAGTCTGTGGCTTTTCATTTTCTTAATGGTGTCTTTTGAGGTACAATGGTTTTCAATTTTGATGGAGTCAGATTGGCCCATTGATTGTGTTTTTGGTGTTGGATCTAAGAGTTCTTTGCCTAACCCTAGGCTAGACTGTAAAAATTTTTTTCTAACAGCTTTGTGGTTTTAACCCTTACATTTATGTGTAGATCCACCTTCAATTAATTTTTGTATATGGTATGAGGTAGGGGTCCAACTTCATTTTAAAAATACTGACTAGCCTGTCCAGGAGTGGCTCAGCGGTTGAGCATCGACCTATGATTTAGGAGATCGTGGTTCGATTCCTGGTCAGGGCACATGCCTGAGTTGCGGGCTCGATCCCCAGTAGGGAGCATGCAGGAGGCAGCCGATCAATGACTCTCTCATCATTGATGTTCTGTCTCTCTTTCCCTTCCTCTCTCTCTGAAATCAATAAAGATATATATATTTTTTAAAAAGTACCGACTATATTAAAAAATTAATGGATTTTATTTTTTCGAGCAATTTTAGGTTTACAGACTATTGATCAGAAAATGCAGTTCCCGCATATGCCCCCTACACACACACACAGTTGATGCTGCAGAGCCAAGTTCTTTTTGCAGAGACAGCAACCATGCTGGTGTTGGTGCTGGTTGCAGCAAAGTTAAGTTCAGGATGGAAAGGTGGGAAAGGTGCCACTCCTGCCTCTCTTGCTCTGTTTAGTGAGGTCATTGACATTTTATGGGAAATGGGACTTAGTCTATTTGGGGAAAATGCCCTTGGCCATAATTGCACACAACGAGCCCTTGTTAGAGTTACTGAAACAGTCTGTGCCCTAGAAGTGTGTCCGGTGGCTCTCCCTTCCCACAGCCCTGGGTCCAGGGCAGCTGTGATATGTCCCAGCTGCTCCTCACTGGCTCCAGGGGTCTCTGTGAGCCATGCACAGTGAGGGTGGGATCTCAGGTGTCTGGATGCATGAGCAGCCTTGCCCTGCTCTGTCAGCAGGTTCACTTTTCATTTCAGGGCCACAGTCTGGTGGCTGCATTCAGAGCCATTAATAACAGTCTGATCAGTTAGTGGGAGAGCTGGCAGCTTAGACAGATCTGTTATTTTGTCTCGGTCATTCAGTTTGTGAAGCTGGCCCTGATTCCACATGGTACCAGTCACCTGGCTGTGCAGGCATCCCGCAGGGTCCTGGCAAGTTGGTACTGGCTCAGGGGACAGTCCGTATCTCTTGCTTCCCCCTGCAGGCAGCCTGTGCGGGGATGGCACAGGCATGTGCTACCTGCTGCCTGTCTTCGACACCGTGTATGTCCGGAGGAGACACCGTCGCCAAGGCCTGGGCGTGGCCATGCTTCAGGACTTCTGTGAGACGTTCCGAGATGACGAGGCCCTGGGGGTCAGTTGGCCAATTTCTTCTGCCATGTACCAAGGTAATGCCACCTTTGCCAGGCAGAAGCATTTGGGTAACAGTGAGGGACACACACCTGTATTCCAGATGGCTCTGGGGAAGGCAGTCCTCGGCACCCTCTGCACTATGACACGTGGGCATCGTCTTCCTTCTGAGAAACCTCCCAGGGCTTCAGCACATGAGCCTTCATGCTGGATCACAGGGCCACACCTTTCCCAGCCTGAGGAATAAGTGGATTTAGGTGTAATAAAAAATCAGCACAACATCAGGCATGGGATGGATGAAGGGGGCACAGGGTGGGAGGAGAGGAGGAGGGAAGTGGCTCACAGGGAGCATGGATCAGAGCAGGGGGCTGTGGTGGGCTGGGCTGCCAGAAGGACCTGAGTGGCCACTCCTGAGGACATCAGACAGGGCTGGCCTGTGTGCAGGGTGGGCGGCCTGACTTATGCTGGGCTCCTGTCCCCAGTCTGTAGGAAGTTCCTATTGGCCCATCCAGAGGAGCGGGACCGGCTGTGGGAGGTGGAGCCCCCGGGAGCCTGGGGCCAGCGAGGCAGCATCTGGCTGAAGGTCCAGCTTCAACAGTCAAGACTTCCAGACTGTGAGTCGGCCTGAAAAGTGCACTGTGATCTCATTGTTTCTCGTCACTGAAGTAGATTCATTTATACAGATGGAGTCAGGCCCATGCGGGTGTTAGGTCTGCTGTTGCTGCCAGAACAGGAGCAGTGGCACCAGGGTGCTGGCATCTTGTCCTCCCTCACCTTCCCTTCCCAAATGAACCATATCGTCCAAACCCCTGCCCAAGAAGAGGTCCCCCAGCTTAGCTAATCAGAAGTTACCTGTGACTAAGGGCTCCCTTTTAACAAGCGAACGGATCATTGTAATGGGGAACATGAATTTCCCTGCCCAGCAGATCAGTTGAAAGCATTATTTCAAAAGACATACAGGGTTTACTGTGAAGAGCTGGCCTCCTGTCCCCTTGTCCTCGGGGAGAATAGAAAAAATGGTCGCATCCCATAAACAATGTTCTGCAAATGAGTGCCTGGCTCTTTTTATGGGCAGCGTGGTAGGATGTCCTATGGAGATGTCCTTGTCTACTTGGGCAGTCCGTTACAGACACACAAGCCGTCTTCAGTATGGGGCATTACAGGTGGCGCCATGGAGTTTGCCAGTGGGGTTTTGATGGCAGGGGTGTTTCCATGGCGGGTCTCCTGGGGAGGGAGAGGCTGGGAAGACCTTTATGGAGCCAGAGGGCAATGCAGGGCAGCAGAGACACTTGTCTCTGGATCTCTACGTTGCTTTTTGCCAGTGTTCCTTCTGTCTTTCCCACATTGCAGACTGTTACCAGCTCAGCCCTGCAGGTGAGGGAGGGCCTGGGGCAGGGCCCGGGGCCCTCCGGGCTGCAAGTGTGTGGGTGCTGAGAGACTCAGGAGGTACTAATAGTTTAAATTTACTGGCCAAGCCCTGCCAGGCGTGGCTAAGTGGTTGAGCATCGAACTAGGATTCGGGAGATGGGGGTTTGATTCCCGGTCAGGGCACATGCCTGGGTTACGGGCTTGATCCCTGGTTGGGGGCATGAAGGAGGCAGCCGATCAATGACTCTCTCATCATTGATGTTTCTATCTCTCTCCCTCTCCTTTCCTCTCTCTGAAATCAATAAAGATATATTTTTTAAAATAAATAAATAAATAAAAATAAATTTACTGGCCAAGCGAAAGCATTGGCTTCCTTCCCTCATGGTGTCCGTGGCCCTGTCAGCGTCAAGTGCCATCTCTGAGGTTGTGGGTAGCTCATTAGAGGGCCACGGGCAGGCTGAGGTGCCTGCTTTGTCTCCGCCTGATTTACCTTAGCCGGTGACAGGGAAGAGCGCCTTGGAGTTTATTGATGATAATAGTGATCATTTGGGCTTTTATGGTACCTTTCAGCTAGAAGGCTTAATGGATCTTTACAGATATTAATGGGGTAACCAGGCACCTGGGAAGGAGGCCACTGCAGAGCTGTGACTGGGATCCTAATGAGGTGGCTAAGTGACTTGCCCTGTGGCACCAAGAGTTGGAAATGCAGGGCAGCGAGCCATCCTGGACCCCCCTGCACCGAGTGGACTGACCCTGCAGGCTTATGGACACAAATGAGCCTGCAGCCATGCACATGGTCTTTGTGCCTCGGAGGTTGCAGTCCTTGGCTGGGGATGGAAGAAACTAATGGCTTACATATCCGAATGGAGAAATCGCTCAGGCCGGAGGGGGTGCACAGGGGAGGGCATTTTCGCATAATTGCGGAGATGGCATTCTCTCAGGAGATTTGCTCTGGGGGTTATTTTAAGAGCTGAGAGCTGGTGTGGTCTGGTCAGAGCAAACCCAGCTAAAGTCAGATGCCAGAGCTGTCACTTTAAGTCACGCTGAGATTCGCCAACTCTCTCTTTAAATCAGCAAATGAGGGGACTCTGACAGAGAATGTTCCAGAAGCACCCATGAGTCCCTTGAAGGAAGAAGGGTCATCATTATAATTAGGGTATAATTAGATTACAAAAACTCTCTAATTTTAAAAATTTTAAAGTTATGGTCTTTTCACTCCCTGTATGAATCAGTGCTGGTTCCCAGTTTCCCCACAGCTCTGAGTCCCCAGGGCCAGAGTCAGGGTAGAATTCACTCAGGAGGGTTTTCAGCCAGCTTCATCTTGCAGCAGTTGTGTCAGTTAGTGCTGACATTTCAGGGTTTTTTCGGGCTGTGAGTGATGGCTGCAGATCAGTCACAGATCAGCCCAGATGCTCTGTAGTTACTCCGTTTCTAGCAGGCTTCTCCCTTCATGGAAACCAGTGAGAACAGCCCTGCAGGTCACCTAACAGTGCAGATTCTGGGATCTTCTCTCCCCTCAAAATCTCACTAGGCCGCCTCATTTGATTTCAGCTTTTAATCAGGCAGTTATTCCTAGAGTTGCTTTCTTGCATTGTTCTGGCCCTCAGGGTCTGTCCCTTGTCCCTTTATTCCTGAGTGTGATTTTGGGGGTTTTCCACAACGTCTTGTGCCGTAGAAATAAGCAAGAAACCCTGTGGCACCTATAGCTGTTTTTATGGAAGTGTGAGGCATGGATGTTCTGCAGCATTTCAGGGGGAAATTGGTATTCCTCCCAAATGTTTTAAAGTCTGTTTCTGAAGCAGTGTCCTTTGTGGACTAGGTCTTTTAAAGTTTGCACGAGTCTGCCTGTGATAACATCTGTGGCTTATCATGGTCCTGGAAATATTTATAGGGTTATTCTGATCTTTTGAGAGGAGTTTGTGGGAAATGTTTTCCTCACTACACTAGGTTGCATACGAAGCCTTTGAAACTTGACCAATAGGATCATAATTCTCTCTGCCGGGACTCCCCAGCTAGCTTGCACATGCCTTAAGCTTCTTTACTGGGGGAGATGAAATTGAATGCGTCAACAGTTCTTTTACAAAAATGTTGCTGGAGGCAGAAAATAATTGCACACAGCTTTAAAAATTAACTTTTTCTTTTTTTTTTTTAAGTTTCTGTTGGTTTTTTAGAGAGAGAAAAGGGAGAGGGAGAGAGAAACATCCATGAGAAACATAAAGTCGGCTGCCTCCTGCACGCCCCCTAGTGGGGATCGAGCCCAAAACCCAGGTTTGTGCCCTGACCAGGAATGGAGTCGATGACCTCTTGGTGCATGGGTTGACACTCAACCAATTGAGCCGTACTGACCAGGTCAATTTTTTCATTCTTTAGCTTATAGTTTTGCTTTCTTTCCAGGTGAATTTTTAATAGATTCAATCGTCATCCACAGGGAAAATATTTTTCTTCTATTTGCATTTAATTTTTAAAGCTGGAGAGAATGTATATAAAGAGATGTGAAATATCTGAGCTAGGAGGTGGGGTCATTTTTTCTAATCTTGTTTCAGCTGGTTCTGGTGAGTCAGACATTACATAGTGCGGTAGCAATAGCAATTTTATGGCAGCGAGTATGCTGGGAAGTGTGGAGAGCAGAACCTCCATGCTGGATGGATTTTCTGTCCAATGCTGCTCTTTGAAAGGTTGTGTCTCCCTCTAGTGGCCATTGCGCTCTACTGCGCCCTGGATGGTAACTGCGTTTACCATTGACCTGTATGGTTGCTTCTCAGATTCTTACACTTGTGAGCTCAAATTCGTGTGTTCACTTTTAAAAAAAAACTTACTGAACTTTCATTGGTTAGAAATGAAATGCAAGTGAGCATTTAATAGCTACTGGTATACTTCAGTCCATAACACATAAAAATAATTTCATCTGGTATACTTCAGTCCATAACACATAAAAATAATTTCATACATCAGGAAAGGTAGGAAAATGGTAATGGATTATCTACTTCATTCTCTCATTCATTCATTCTGTCACCCATTCCCTCACTCATTCGTCATCCACAGGGTGATGAATAATATCTGCTCATTATTCAATTGATTACCGTTACTGGAACATCTTCCAACACCAGGCATTGTCCGAGGTGATAGGGATACACTAGTGAATGAAGCTGACAGTCTCTGAACTCATTTATGAGCTTTCATTTTTGTGAAGAGAAGTACATGGGTAATGCCTGCTTACATAAAAACTCTAAGAGAGGCTAAAGTGTGCTGGTATTTTCAAATACTTAAATTTTGCCAAATCAAATTTTGCTGACATAAAGTCTGGAAATAAACCTTAAAATGTACTTACATAGGTAACAACTATACAATACAATTATTCTTAAAAAATGTGTTTCATTTGTATTTTCAACTCAAACAGAAAACTGTATACATTTTTGGGATCTGGCCTCTCCCCCTACAAACCTCCACATCAGGATTTTGCAGTATGGGGAGGTGCACAGTGGGACAGGGGAGTCATCCCACTCAGATTTGGGACTGATGGAAGGAGGAGGAGGGGAGGGAGGCTGCATTCACATGTGTGATTATGGGCTCGCTTGTGAGTAAAAATTCCAGTGAGCAAAGTGGAAGGTGAGGAATGGAACTAGAAACCTGACTCCATTTCATGCCCCAACAATTGGAAGAGAAAATATAAATTCCAACTGGGAAATGCTTGAGAACCATTGCTTCATGTCCTCTGTCCTCCAGAGGGCACAGGAGAGGCATCAACGTGAAGGTCAACCAGATGGAATTGGGTCATGGTGATCCGGTGATCGATGCTTCTGGAAGGGTCCCCAGCGTGTTACTAATCTTTCGATTAGTCCACTTCCTCGGGAGCCACCTGTTTGCTTTTCCTCTTCTCTTGCTTGGGGAGGGCAGCTGTCCCAGGAAGTTCCAAGGAGGACATGAGCAGTCACGGGCGGACTTGTCAAGATGCTGTACCCAGACCGTCCAATAACGGAGAAGGCAACAAGGTACAATGATGGATATGCCATCAGGAATACTTCTTGTTTTCTCAGTAATCATGCTGTGCTTGTCAAGTGAAGCTGTGGTCTTCCTGCACACCTTGGCTCCAGGTTTCTCCATGGCAGCAGCGGCTGATTTAGGCTCAGCATCTCTGAGCTGTGGTGTTGGGAAGGGCCTTTGTCAGTGGGCTTTGCATGGTCTTCTCTAAGCTAGACAAGCTCACACAAAGCCAAGGAAGTGGGGATCAGTTATAACCTTGCATTTTAAGGAAATATTGAAAAATCTGAATTTCAAAAAACAAATTTGAAAAAGATAAAAAACCACTACACCTGTCCCTTCCCAGGTTTCATCTGTAGTTGAAAGACCATGTATTTCCCTTATTCATTTACTTTGTCCCTCCTACTTGTTTGGTTTGTTATGGGACCCCCAGGACCAGGAACCCTGCCTGAGTCATGTTGAGCTTTCTCACATGTATTGTGTGCTCTGAAGTTGGACTCAGGCACTGATGAGTGACAGTCTAGGGACAAATCCCTACCCCAGCCTCCCAGGTTCAACTGGTGTCCTCCATGACCAGACCAACTCCAAAGATCTCCTTGGGTCAGGTGACAGCTGGTGAGTGAGTCACTCAGGGCAAACCTCTCTGCCTTACAAGACACACATCCTGGCACAGCTGGCCTACCTCTTGTGACAGTAGCAGATCTGAGTGCTGCCACTATGTGGCCTTCTCTGACCACCCAGCACAGCCCAGGGCACAGGCCAAGTCAAAGATGAATGACGGGCCAGGCACCAACCACTCCAGAAAATAATAGATGTCGGTAAGGATGTGAAGAAATCTGAACTCTTGTGGACTACTGGTGGGAATGTAAAAGGGTGCAGCCACTATGGAAAAACAGTTCCTCAAAAAACTAAACAAAATGGGGCCCTGGCCGGGTGGCTCAGTTGGTTGGAGTGTTGTCCCATAAACCAAAAGGTACCCAGTTCAATTCCCAGTCAAGGCATATGCCTGGGTTGTAGGTCTGGTACCCAAAGGCAACCACTCAATGTTTCTCTCTCTCAAATCAATAAACGTCTTAAAAATTCTAAAAAAAGAATTATTTCTGGAATTTTGTTTAATATTTTCAGACCACAGTTGACTGAAATGAAACCTCGGATAAGGGGGGGACTTACCCAAAAGAATTGAAAACAGGGTCCCAAAGAGAGATGTGCACAGCCATGGGCATAGCAGCACTACTCATGATAACCAGCAAGGAAGCAACCCAGATGCCCTTTGGGATGAATGAATAAAGAATGGGGCATACTTGTCCAAATGGGTATTCTTTAGGCTTCAAAAGGGAGGAAATCCTTACACATACTACATGGATTTACTTTCAGGACATTATGCTAAATGAAATCAGCAGTCACTAAAAAAACAAACACACACACACCCCCCCGATATTATAGGATTCTACTTATATGAGGCATCTAGTCAAACCTCAAAGAAACGGGAAGCAGAATGGCGGTTGCCAGGGGCTGGGGCAGAGAGGAGTGGGGAGTTATTGTTTAGTGAGTAGAGTTTTGGTTGTGCAAGATGAAAAGCTCTCGAGAACGCTGTGAATGTACTTCACGCCGCTGAACTCGACACTTAGAAGTGGTCCAGATGATAAATTTTATGTTGTATATTTTACAATTAAAACTAAAAAGAGTTTTTAAAGGTAAAAGTGAATACAGAGCTTCAGGGAGAAACAAATTAAATAAACTCGTGCTCTATAATAGGGCAGTTATACAACGTTTAATATGTATACTATATAAACTCGTAGCTCTACTATGTTCTTGCCGCTTCCCAAAGCATCGTCTCCAAAGCCGCCCACCTCAGAGGCCAAAGCTCCCAGCCAGACTGGGCAGCTCAGCACCCTTCCACCCCCAACCTGGCGTCCCTCCTGCCCTCGCTTGAGGAGTCACACAAAACACCGGCCTCACCTTTTCCCACTGAGTTTTATTCCAGACCAGTTTTACAATGGTGCTGATTTAGAACCTGTCCATTCCTACACTAGTGACAGCTTCATCTTCCTTCTACCCACAGACAAAAGAATAGAAGCTACTGCCCAGCTGTGCGCCTGGCATTAGCTAGACTTTTAAGGAATCCAGAACAGAGGGCTGGAGCCTGGCGAGCAGGGGTCCATGACACAGCCAGCTCCCTATGCACCTGCGATGGGGACAGAGATGGTGACCTAACAATCTACAGCCCTGGGTCGCAGTAGTGTGGTATCAGTGTCTGTTCCTTCCTGGCCCTGCTGCTTTGATCAGCCTGACATGAGGAACCACCGTCACCTCTGGCACACAGCAGAGGGACACAGGCGACACGCAGGCCACACAGCCACGGAGAGCAGTGAGAACCCTGAACCTTCATGCGGTGCCCTCACCACGGGCCGGCCCTACCTGCTGCAACAACCAAGCAAGGACAGCTCTGCCCTGGCCAAAGTCCCTCAATTGGGGGCATGTTCAGGTGCTACCCTGTAGAGGCTGAAACCAATCCTTCAGGAAAACCAGCAGCTCACATGGACAAGAGTGTCCCATGTGCCAGGCACTGTGCTGGGATCTGGCATCTCACCCTCATAACATCCCTGAGGTAAGTCTGATCATTGTCCCCATTTCACAGATGTGGGATCAGGCTCAAGAGTGTAGTCACAGAGGTGCCTAAGGTCTCAAAGCTATTAAGTGACAGGGAAAAGCAGTAGAGGGGCTCAAAGGTCTGTATGACCTTAGTTTTCAGTTACCCCAATACCCCAAATTGCCCCTTAGGAAACAAGGAAAGAGGGATGGGAGGTGAAATCCTGACAGAACCACTTCTAGAAACTTGGAGAAAACCCAGCCACCATGGTGATTATCAAAGTGCCTGAAGGGGCAGCCACTAAGGGCAGGCACACTCACTGCTGCCGGTGCCCCTGCCCCAGCCAACATGCAGACCCTCCTCCCAGTGGCCTTGCTCTCAATAAAGAAAGGCCAGTCCCTTGGGTGCAGTTCTGCAGAGACCCCAGATAACAAAACTGCTGTCCTGTTTCTCAGGTTTTTGCTTAAGAGAGCCTACTGTTGCATGAGCAAGGGAAATGCCTGATTTGGGTCAAAATAAAAATGCCAGTCGCCACCCAAAGCTTGTCCGCTTCTCCTGCTCCCGGGACAGCGCCAGTGCTCTTGGGGCCAGGTCTGGGCTCTGCTGTCCCATCGGAGCAGGGCACCAGCGCCTCTCACAGCCACAGCCAGAGTTCCAACAGAGAGAAGGGAAGGGTGCCCAGAGCAGCCTTAAAGCTAAGGCATCAGGGCATGTTTACTGTGAACCTGACAGTGGCTCTGGAGGAAGAGGTGGGTGGAGGCACAGGAAGAAATGCAGGAGCTCCCAGACTGATACCCACCCCACTCCTCCCAGGGGGCGGGGAGGCCACAGCGTGGGACAGTCCCTTGGGACAGATCCTACTCCTTTGGGGCCCTAGTAGCTAGTCCACCTGACATTTTCACTGTGTCTCTAAAGTGCCATTAGCAAAACCACAGGAGTAGGGGTGGGGGCGGGGGCAACAACAGCCCTGGAAAGAGGACTACTGTGCTGTGGGCACAGGGAGTCAAGAGGACAGACGATCCCCACTCCTTGGATCTGGGGAAGCTGGCTGCCTCCTGCCCCACTCAGGTGAAATGCCCAGTGCTCTCTGGCCCCACTCCCCTCACCAGCAACCACCCACAGCCTCTCCTCCCTCACACCCTGCTGTCCTGTGCTTCCCTCTCCCCCCCGCTGGGGCCCTGGCCCAGGTCCTCAGGCCAGTACTGGTCCTGCATGTACTGCTCCATGTCCGTGCTGCTGTCAGGCTCCCTGTCCTCGGGGTGGGTCCAGGGATGGCTGGCCTGCTGCTGCTCCCACTGCACCTCCACCAGCTGGTACAGCTCCATGGCAGTCATGGCATCCTCCACGGATGAGTGCCCTTGCTGGCCCACCTGTAGATGAGAGCCCACACGTCACTATCCATAACCTGACACACCAGGCGCTGTGCACAGGCCTGAGATCATGGACTGTCAGAACGGCAGTGTGCAGCTTGGCACAGGGAGAAGGGCATGGGATTTCCAGACAGAAAAACTCAGGAACCTCAGCCATAGCACTAGCCAGCGAGCTCCTCTAGCCTGTTCCCTCAAATATAAAACAAGATAAAAATCGCCACCATCAAAGGCCTGGAAAGCAGAGGGAACACTGGAGGTGAAGCACAGTAGGAGCAGGAGGTACTAGCTGCCCTGACCGAAGGCTCCGTCTCCAGTTGCAAAGGCAGGTGCAGAGCCTAGAGCTGGGTGGGGGGACAGATCTGGAAGAGAGGAGCGTGGAGAACGCGTACTGGTAGAAGGAGGCTGCTGAGGAACACCCAGGGCTGCGAGAATGTGGGAGGCCCAGGACCTGGTTAGGAGGAATGACCAGCTGGAGGTGCAGCCCCCAACCCCACCCCACCCTCATGTACCTGGATCTTCTTGTGCAGCAGCTGCAGGGCCAGGTCCTTCAGAGAGACCCGGGCCCGGGTCTGAAGGGCGGGCTGGCTGAGGAGGTTGGGGACACATGTGGTGTCCCGGGTCTGGCTCCGAGGGTGGACATACTTGAGGGCCTTGAAGTCGTTGTGCAGGGCGTGCCCTACCACCACCTTGCCCTTCAGGAGCTTGAGGATCTGTGGATGGAGAAAGGAGTCAGGAAGGCCCCACTGTGGGCGGGCCCAAGACCAGTGGGCACACAGATCCCTCTGGAGGAGGCAGCATGGAGAGGGGAGACCAGGAGCTCCAGGCAACTACACTGCCCTACTTGAGTCCAGACCCTTCTACTTACTACTTGAGATAAGCAGGGCACAGTGAAGCTCTCTGAACCCGCCACACGAGAATACTGCCAACTGCATTCCATGGTTATGGAATTATAGTCGGTCATGGACAGGAGAAATCCAGTAATTCAAGCAACGTATCTTTCTCCCTGCACAGGCTCACCTCGCCGCCTGAAGACCTCACCAGCCCTCCCACTCCACTGAGTCTTCCCCCAGCTCCTATCATGGCAGGTCTCAGCTCACATGTCAAGAGGCCACCCTGAGACTCCCTGTCCACATTAGGACCCCTTTCTGTCGTGCAGGGGATTCAACGCACTAAGTACACATTTAGCTCTGGCATGCTCTACACTCCCCATGCCCACTGTAAGCTCCCCATACACACACAGGAACCCTGTTTGACTTGACTGGTGATGCTCAGTGAAAACTCAGCACACAGGTGATCACTGGGCAAAGTCCACAGAGCCAGGCTGGTGCAGAGAAACACTGTACACGGCACCTCACACACAGGTCATCTTCAGGATCCTGTCCCTCTGCCCCTCTGCTGTGTAGGACCCTACTGCCTTGCTCAGCTCTGGCCATGACATGCAGTTCTCCTCCCTGCCTTCCACCCCCCTCAGGCTCTGGAGAGGTCATGCCATGTCCAGGGCCACAGGCCTGCAAGTCCTCCAGCCCTCTTGGCTGGGCTTGGCTCTTATCACCAGCACTTGCCTCCCACAGCCAGCAACACATGCCTATCACTAAACTCAGCTTCCACAGAAGGTAGGTAAGGTGCATTTAGACTTTGAGGGTAGGGACATGCTACCACTCTAGTCACACACCCCAGCCATTTGGTGGGAAGAGAGCAACCATGCTCCACACTGGCTCAGAGTCTGAGTAGAAAAATAGTGGTCCTGCTTACAGGAGCACCACCAACCAGACTAAGGTCAGCACTGAGGGTTCGCCATACGCCTCCCTTCCTGTTGCTTCTGTCTTCAGTAGCCTGCTAAATAGAACAGCTTCAAATCTTTTGAAAGAAATGCTTGGGCTGTATATTATGTGAAAAAGTATACCAGTATTTTCCAAATTTACCTAACCTCAAGAATAACCCAGAAACATTAATTCTCTTATAATGCTTGTTTTAAAAATGCAGAATGTCCCAACATGACAGATACATCAGAAAATGATTTGAGAATAATGCGTGATTTTGCCCTTAGGAAACACTAAATGTATGCAGGAAGCCACGCTCAGGTGACCCGAGCCATGCAGGAACACACAAATTGCACACCCCGCAAACACCTACCAGGGAGCTCCGTTCACCTGTGTAACGAGCCACCTCACGTGGTGTCCCCACTTCCCATCTGATTTCAGGTAACTTACTGGACCACTTCACTGAAACACAAGCTGCAGCCCTTCTGACAGCTACCTCCACGAGGAAACTTCAGGTCTTTTTCAAGGTAAAGTGCCATCCTTACCAGTGTATGTATGTATGAATTTCTTAACCATTTAGCACATGCAGAACTGTGCTACCATTGTCCAGGTGTGGAGGCCAGGCCTCTTTTTATTTGTGGGGTGTCACTGTGACATTTTTTAAGTATCCCCCCCATAAGCTCTGAGGTTTTTATTGTGTCAGTTTACACAGCACGATGATTTTTAGGCACACACACCAGAGTCTCCTCAGGCCTAGAGACATAAGGAATCAGAAGTTCCATGGGGGGATCTGGGGACAAGGAACTGAGATTAATAAGGCTTGAGGCATTTCTTATGCTTAAGCACGTTTGGGGATTCCTGGCACATAAGTGTGATTCCAACCACTAATTAATTTTTTTCAAAGTCCTGAAGAACTAACCTAAGGAAATAGACCCAAATATTGATGCCTGAAGGTGATAGCACTGTGGGCCTTACAAATTTTGCACACCAACCCAAACAAGTCCCCACCTGCCCTCACCTCTTTCTGGGCCACCTGGAAGGGGATGGCTTTGCGCATGTGCTGCCGAGTGATGCCACTCCAGCGAGTGCGGTAGTCCACAATGGGCATCTCAGGCCGGATGTACTTGTCATAGAGGACGTCACCGTGGTAACTCACCACCGAGCAGCGGGCCAGCTCACTCACCCGCCCTCGGGGTCCCGTGCCCACCATCTCGCAATCGATAGCTACGCACTTTCTGGGCAAGGCGCCAGAGGATTCCCTGGGGGTGGGCTTTCTACTGCATGGGGCACCTCCAGATTCAGCCCTTGGACCTTGCCTCCCACGGCTGGCAGCTTCAGTGCCTGGCGGTGCCTCTGATGTCATGGGTGGTGGGGAGAATGCTGGCTCTGGGGGCATGCTCTGCATCCCCTGCTCCTGCAGTAAGGCCTTCCGGGCCATGAACCGCTGGTGCTGTCGGCTCTTCCGCTTGTGCTTTCTCCGAAGCACATCCTTGGCATTTGGGTTCGCCAGCAAAGGGCACAGGTGCTGGGAAGGCTCAGTGGCTTCTCTGGGTACCATCCCAATCTGCTTACCACTCGGGGCAAGGGAGGCCTGGGAGGTAATCTTCCAACGGGGCAGCACCCTGGAAAGAAACTACAGGGCAGAGGGGTTGGGTAAGGATGGGTCAAGCCAGCCCTCTGTTCCTCCTGGTGTTCCCCGCCCCGCTGCCCTCGAACCTGTACTGTCGCAGACTACTGGACTGAGTCGAGGACCTATTTTAATAATTGCCCTTATACAGTCAATGCCACATGCAAACCACTGCTTTAAGTACTTCCCATGGAATCATTCAGTCTTCCCAACGACCTGAAAAAGTATTATCCTCATGCTACAGGTAAGAAAACTGGGGCATAGAGGTTAAGTACTTGCTCGATAAGAGACAAAAGCTGACTGTGGGGCCTACAGAGCTGGAGGTGACCATGAACTCAGGGCACTCCTAATTTGGTGGAGAGAGAGGTAGAAACTCGCTCAGGATGGGAGCGATGGACTAAGGACAGTCACCTGGCTCACCTGGTCAGGTACCAGAACAGGCAGAAAACACCAGGTTAGGGAAGGCCTGGCAGTCCTGGGACACTTTGAATGGTTTCAGGAAGGTCTGCCAAGAGCCCAGGAGGGAAGGGCATCCAGACAGAGAAAATGCTGACACACAGTCCAGAAGGCAAAGCACAGAGGATCACGGACTTATAGGAAGAGGTCTAGAGAAAACAAGGAATCTGAGCAGTAGCAGCAGAGATTAAGAGAAATGAGAGGAAGAGGGCAGGTAAAGTACCATTTGGTGATGCCTGGGCCAGGGTGAGGCAGTGACCCATCCTGACTCACCCTCCCTCCTTGCTCATCCATTCCCTGAGAAGCTTTTTCCCTTTTAAAAGGGCTCTTTGAACCAGGTGGTCACTGTTCAATTCTCGGTCAGGGCACATGCCGGGTTTCAGGCTCAGTCCCCAGTAGGGGGTTTGCAAGAGGCAGCTCATCAGTGACTCTCAGTATTTTTCTCTCCTTCTCCCTTCCCCTCTCTGAAATGAATAAAAACATATTTTAAAAATAAAGATAAATGAAAGGGCTCTTAACTATAATCAACTTCCTCATATTGACAAGTCACATACTAGAGCCTACAAACACGAGAGCCTTCCTCAGTTTGCCTTAGCCCAGCGGTGGGGACAGCAAGGCCTGAGGAGTCCCGGACTGAGGGCTGACCCTCTGTGGGGGATGAGAGGGCTGAGGGCCCTGAGGCAGGGACTAGGGTCAATGGCCTCCCTGACCCTGTCGGGAAGGTTTCAAAGCCAGAAATAGGTTCCCTGAGAAAGGTCTCAGTGGCCGCACTGTTTCAAGAGGTGAAAGCAGCCCTCTTCTAGGAGCCCTGACCTTGCTGCCATGTTAAAACCAGCAATTATTATCAAGGGCAAACCTCCCCCCTCCTGGGCCCCCAGAGGGGCTCGGTGAGGCTGGGGAGAAGTCTTGCTCAAATAACAACTGCTAGGGCAAGAGCAAACACAAGTCTCTTTCCAGCCCCGAATCTCGGCTTTGGGGCACAGCACCCGCCAGGCCCCAGCAGCAGTCCTCAGAGCAATGTCGCCACGAAGTCAGAATGGTCAGTGGCATCAGGGCCACCAACCTGCTGGCTGACCAGGGAGGCAGTGGGCAGTTCTAGACCCCCCACGGAAGAGCCAGATGCACTTGACCAGGTCGCCATCCCCTCACCATAAAACCAGGGTTTGTTTATGAAACCGAGAGAGTTGCACTAGGTTAGGGACGTCCCCAAAGCAGTTCCTTACCAGAAACAAGACACTGGTGTAAAACGCCCACTCCAGACCCGCCTGCGCACCTTAGCTGTCGTATTGGGGAAGGGAGGGGGCGAGAAACTATTTTTAAGAGCGCGCGACCCCACCCCCAAGCCATGATACCAGTAATCGCCCGAATTTGAAAAAACCTGACTGGATTAGACCCCTGTGCTGCTACAGAGTTCGCGGGACAATAAGTCCGGGGAGAGTCCCGCGCGATCCCGCCGCCCTTCCCCCCCCCGCAGCCGGCGTCCTCCCGGGAGTGACGCGCGGGAGGCCTGACCGCACNCCTGACCGCACCCCGGGCGTTGGTCACTCACTGGCCACGGCGGTCCGGCCCCCGCCAGGCCGAGTCCCATCGCCCATCGCCGTCCCCTTAGGCCCGAGACCACCGAGCAGGGCGGGGACGCGGGACGGGCGGCGCCCTGGGCCCGGCCTACA